CCCCATTTTCTTTAATTTTAATTCTGTCCATCCGACTTGTGAGCTGCAAAGTTCCTATTCCAAATCTTCTTTTAACATCCAAACTTTCAATACTTATCTTCAATCTATGTACAATTTGGTATCTCTTAATTCTTGCACAATAGAGTCCTATGCTGATAAGTGGTATAGTCTTCTCAATAGCTCGTTCAAGTCTGCCATTAAATTAAACCGTTCCAAAAGGAAGGTGTTGCCGATATTTTATTCTTCGCATACTGTTCATTTAATTAATCAGAAAGAAACAACACTTCGCAAATTAAAAAAAGAAAATTCTTATTTGCAGGCAATTAAATTGAAAGATATCACTAGATATCTTTCTGAATCAATTGAATTGGACAAAGAGGTCTTTATTAATCAGTTCAATCTTTCTTCTACGAGCGAATGTTTTAAGCTCCTCAAAACTCTCGGTTATAATTCTGCCCTTCCATCCATCATGTATCACGGCAATATTTCCTTGACAACTGAACTCGAAAAAGCTACTGGATTCAACAAGTTCTTCGCATCAGTTTTCAATGACCAAGAAATGTTCACACTGCCAGACTTGTTCTCCAATGTTTCGATTTGTTTAAACGATCTTAACTTATCATTACCTGATATTGAATCATTTTTGAATTACTGTCCCGACACTAGTAATACTGGTCCGGATAATATTCCCTCTTTCGTGTTATCTCACTGCTCTGATATCATATCACCCCTCGTTTACGATTTATATGCCTGGATATTGAAACACAAAAACTGGCCTAGTCAGTGGAAAACTTCTTTTGTTACCCCTTTATACAAATCTGATGCTCGCAATGACATTACTAACTACAGACCAATTAGTATTTTACCACGAATTTCCCTTATCCTGGAAAGAATTCTTTTCAACTTTACTTATCCAAAAGTTAGACATCTAATCAAACGTCAGCAACATGGTTTCATGAAGTCGCGCAGTACTATCAGCCAATTGATCATCTATCTCGACTCAATTTATTCTTCCTGCGATAAAAATTCTCCTGGACTAGCCATTTACTTTGATGTGAGAAAAGCTTTTGATTCAGTACCGCATCATTTGTTACTTGCTAAACTTGTTATACTCGGCTTTGATTTTGAATTTCTCCAGTTGTTTGAATCTTATCTGACAAACCGGTATCAGTGTGTGCTAATAAATCAATCAATTTCGTCTCCTCTGCCAGTTACCTCGGGCGTTCCTCAGGGGAGTGTTCTCGGCCCACTTCTGTTTATTTTATTTATAAATGATATGACCGATGATGTGTTAAATAGTGAATTTTATCTATTTGCAGACGACCTGAAGATTAATAGCTCATCTGCTCCATCATTAGTTCAAAAAGATATCGATTCTCTTTTTAATTGGTCAACTAACAATCACTTACAGTTTCATTCTGCCAAATGTAAAGTTCTGAACTTTGGTGGTTATGATGATTCTATCCAATTCTTGCTCGGATCAGACATCTTACCATTTGTTGATGAAATTAAAGATCTTGGTATCATAGTCTCCAACAATCTTTCCTGGAAATCCCATCTGAATACTAAGTTGATAAAATGTTCCAGATTGTTTTATTTTCTGAAACGAAATATTCCTTTCTCGGTATCCTGCAGTCGAAAAAAGTTACTTTACAATACTCTCATTCTGTCAATCTTACTTTACGGTGCTCCTGCATGGTGCCCTTCTTTGACACTATTACATCAGCTTGAACTGTTCCAGTACAAAGTTCTAAGATGGATCAAGAAATGTTCATCGTATGTTTCAGGGCTACTAAATCTGAATATGCTTCCAATTAGCTATGTATTGATTAGAGTTGAAATTCTTCTACTTTGGAAGCTCCATAACAATGTTATTGATGTTGACTGCAAAAGTGCAACCAGCTCGCTTCCTACGCGTTCCGCTACGAGTGGCCTATTCGTCATACCGAACACGAGGAAATTGAAAACTGACGATAACTTCTTTGTACGAGCTCCCCGTGCTGCCAATGAACTTCTGCGTCTGAAAATTATATCTTTCGACATGCCCCTGGGAATGTTCAAATCAAAACTGAATAATTTTTTACTGCTTAAAACTTCAACTTTGTTTGATATAAACAGATCATGCACATTCTTTGTCAAATGTTTTTGTAAAAATTGTCGATCGTAAGTTCATTCAATATTTATATTAACCCTGTATCCACCAATGGAATTAAAGTCTTTTACTACTACTACTACTACTACAATATACGATATAGCTTAAACGTGAAAATATTCTTTTGTTAAACATGCAAAAATAATACGTTGAAAAAGCTCAAACATGGCGAGTTAGTGAAGCACGCATTTAAATATATAACAGATAGATAGATAATCGATAGATAAAAGATGAAAATTCAAAAAATTAGGCGACGGGTAGACAGACATAACCAAATTAATTAAAAAGGCAGGTATACAGAGACAGACTTAATTTGGCCTCGAAAAAAAATACTGAAAAATTAATGACCTTGCGAAAAACTAATTGAAAAATTTTCTTAAGCATTGCAATATATGATATAGCTTAAATATGAAAAAATTCTTTCGTTAAACAGGCAAAATTATTATGCTTTAACATGGGAGATAGCTGTCACTCGCATTTAAATACAGTATAGATAGATAGATTGTCAAAAAATCAACATATTAATCCGTTATAATCGATTACTTACGCCTAAAATTGGATGCAGGTTTATTTAGTTGGCCCAAGAAACCTTCAGACATCAATACGTCAGTAAACTAACAAAATTTGAAAAATTCTCCCGGAACCTACTTTTTCTTAAGCCCACCAATTGCTAAAAGCAATCAAAAATATTAAATCCAGTAGTTTGTCTGAAGAATATCAAAAAAAGAATACCCAAAGAATACCAGGGAAAATCAGCTGCCGTTTGAGAAAATAAAAAAAAATTGGCTAAAAAATTGAAAACAATAGATGAAAATAAAAGCTAGAAAATGTTTCATTTTATGAATTCACACGCTATCGAAAGCAGTCTATTTACACAATTCAGGCAAAAATTTTAGCGTTCAAAACGCTGCAGGTCAAAAAAATCCGTATTTCATCCCCAAAAGTCAGTACCCAGAATGACCATTCTACCAGAAAGTCTTTTAAGATTTTTTAAAAATTTCCCCTATTTTATAACTTTCTCAGAATTTACAAAATACTTGAAAAAAAAAAGATAGTTTTGGAGACCAGCAAATAACAAAAAAGGCAGGCACGTGACTCGATTGTGTCAGTCAATTGATTAATTGTTGACTATGAGATTTCCAAAACTTTCTTCTTTGACAGCAGAAAAACAAGCAGAAAAATTTTCTTTTAGTTTTCGGTTATGAGAATTGTTTCAAAAACTATTGAAGTACTTTTAAAAAAAACTTGCGTATATCTGACAAATTTTTCTGAGAAAATGTTTAATTCTTGTTTTTTTTTGCAGCCGAATTCCGTGGTTGTAACAGAAAATCAAAAATCATTCAAAAAAGTTTTAAGTTTGCTGGGCCAACAAAGGGATTGTCTTATTTCAGTTTCCACAACTATTGAATATTTGAGAAGTAAACCGAAATAGAAATACTGTTTTGAGGCTGAGCGTTTTGATAACAAACTAATTCAACATCTTTGAAATTTATTTTCAAAGTGACAGAGTTTTTGTGCTCGGTGTAACTTTTTTAATTAGCTATTTTCTGCACAGATTTTCAACAACAGTCGAAAGTCCTTAGATTAAACTCAAAAAGATATTTTATCTGATGTGTTTTTGGTAAAGTAATGATCGATGTTTGCCAATTTGAGGCAATTAAGTTTGGGATATTTTTGTGCTATTAATGCGTACATGGCCTTCTAATCCCCCAATTTAGAATTAGTTTTAAATTGATTTGAGGCAAAATAATAGTGACCGGTTTCATTCACTTTTATTAATGGATTGTCTTCTGTTGTGTCTATGCGTAATTATTTTCCATGCTGATGATGCTCTTTTTTTCAAGATTATCATCTTGAAAATTTTGCTGGTCTTACTTTCTAAAAAAAGACTTGATCAATAAAGTGTTGAGTTAAATTATATAGTATGAACCAAACCATTGTATAGTTCTGATTAAATACAAGCTCACATAAAAAATGATTTTCAATTTTTACAAATTTTATACATAAAATTTACAGATTTAAAGAGATTGGGGCGAAGTCTTCTACCAGACCGACTTTTTACCAGACCACAATGCAATAAATCATTTAAGATAAATTTAAATTAGTGAAAGATCCGATAATGAAGCGGCTAGAACAAACAAAAATTCGCTGAGAAACCGTGAAATCATAGCCTTTAACCAGACTAACGACGTCATTACATCTGTCACTCAAATTTGTTTATCTAGCCTGGCAAAAGGTCCATATTATAACTTTTCTGGTAAAAAGTCGGTCCCCCTCGGAGACTAATCGTTTATCAGACCAATCTTCCAGCAGTAAATGTGAAAAATGAGTCTTTCAGCAGACCAACGTAATAAAATGATGAATGATTGATTGACAGACTGAAAAAGACGCTCAGTCTTGGGACAAACTACCCAAGTAAGACTATCTCACAAACTTGACAACAATTATCAACTTCAAAACACAAAGGTCTAAATTGGCGGCAAAACAAAGATTCACGCGCACAATGCCACACGTGGCTAATGGAAGCGCAGCGGAGCAAGCGGTCGCTAATCACCAAGGCCGCTTTTGAAGTTAGCGTATTTACTTGCTAATTGTTCTGAGTCCGCTAAAAGATTGATCTGCTAAAATGGGGGCACTCAACAGTGCCGAAGTACAACAGTGCCGAAAAAGGCGGGAAAATTTCAGAATAATTTAAACGCATTTTCTAAAGAAGAAACTACTAACGCTAATTGTCAAAGAAAATCACTCCAATTTCGGCGCCAAATGTCTGCAACTGCAAATTAAAAATTATTTTGGTGCCAAAACGTCTAAATTGCAAATTTTCTCTCCCAAAATCTTTAAGTGGCACTTAAGATTGTAAACGTTCGCCGTTTAATTTTTGTTTGTCGCAATTAATATGTTAAAATTTGTTCAAATTTTCGGCACTGTTGAACAAAGTTTTCATTTTCGGCACTGTTGAACCCGTCATAATTTCACACATTTTGTCCGCGCATATTTTCCCCCTAACTTATTACTTAATTAATTAATCGCCGGTTTCCTAGTTGGCAATTTGATAGGCGAAATGTGTTTGGGGCAAAAAGTGCGAACATCATTACAAACTTGAAAAATATGATCAATAAGACAAGAAAAAAGCGGTTTCTTCTTAATTCAATCAATTTTAAAAGAAATCTTTTTAGCAGTAGAATCACTTAGCACATAATCTTCAACAAATAAGACAACAAAAAGCGATTTATTTTTATTTCAATCAATTTTAAAAGAAGTCTTTTTAGCTATAGAATCACTTAGCACATATTTTACAACAAACAAAACAACAAAAAAGGGGTTTCTTTTTATTTTTTAGCACATATTATACAGATTACATGTGTTTCCTTGTATTATTATATACATTATATTCGACTTATATCCAATTTTGTCAATGCTTGATAACATAAACTTTTTAAATGTCGGATTTATTATGTTTCAGGTTTATGAATTATTGTCAAGTTTGCATTCGAGCAAGTCGTGGCATTATAAATACCGCTCGGAAAACTGTTGACTAATTTGTTCACTCTATTGGGTCCATTTTACTCCATTTCTGGAAGAGTTCGGCGAATTCAACATTTCCGCAACTACCCCGTTGATGTAGCGTCGTCACAAACCAGTTCCACGATGATTTGCAATAACATCTTAGATCTGAACAATCAAGGCTGCGAAATTCGATCTTCAGACTCAGAATCGGTTCAGATACACAGATGATCCGTTATGCGAGTACTGCGGAGAAGAAGAAGAGTCTTCCGAGCACTTTTTGATAAGATGCAAAGCCTGGTCCGAAGATAGAAAGGAGACGATAGGAGAAAACGACGATATCACCTACCTACAGACCAATCCGGAAGGAGTCTACCGCTTTGTACAGCTCACAGGACGCCTTGCGGCGTCCCCTGATCAGTGAAAGGCTCCAAACACACACACAAGTTCGATCTCGAGTCATCAACTGATCGCTAAAACATCACTATCTCTCAGTCTGTGTCAGCATCAAACATTAACTGCCACCTTCGAAATTTAAACCTTTTGACTTTTTTCGTTCTTCTAAACACACTAAGTAGTCATACAAAAACCACTTAGCCGAAGTCCAAAGGTATGCGTAATGTAGGACTGGCGCATTTTCGATTTTAAGGAAGTCTAATCGGGATAAACTCTTTGTGCTCAAAAAAGTTTTGAAAGGTGTTGTAATTAAACGAATTAAGGAGAGTTCTATAACGTTTAAGAGTGTTCAATAATTAAAAGTAAGTTAATACAATTTGAAATGAAATTGATTCAATCTTATGAATCAGCTACTCGGAACTCAATACTTTACTTAGCGAAGTTTCATGTAAATATTTTCATATCGCTATTTTCATACCTCAACTTAGGATGCTCCGGAATTGGATCAATTGCTTTGTCCACGTTCATATTTTTACTGGCACTTGTGTTGCCAATGGCCATTGAATCGCGAATGAATTTGCGGCAACCAGAAATTCGAGGCTTGATTCTGCTGCAATTCGTTTTCGAGGTCAGCACAGAGCCCTTCTTTTAGCTTTGAGTTGAAATCATGTCGAAACAATTCCGGTTAACCATCACTCCAACGAGCTGCCATCATTTGTAAAACCTGTAAAAAAACGAAGCTTCTACTTAGAGGCGAAGCGCAGAATTGCATGCAAGCGAATAGAAAATTGGACAGTATAACGAAATCAAAAACAAATTGGGAAAAATGAACATAAGTTTAGAAAAATAGTCGAAAACTGCCAGCCGATCAAATTCTGAAGTTTTAATTTGTTTTTGAGGTGAAAAGGTATTTTCGAAAAATACGAATTGACCATGTCATGCTGTAACATTCGTCTACTGCAGTCACACATGAGGCTTAAGAAAAATAGGCCCTATAACCATTGGCTCAAGAGTCAGGGACACTATCTCTTGTGTTTTTCTACCTCAAATCAGTCGGAGCCAATTCGGTTCGTCTGTGACATGAGACCACGACCCGTTACAGCTTAAAGGCTACTACCAAAATATCCCCCCCCCCCCACTCTAGAAATAATAACGTCCCCATACTCAGGTCTCTAGATACCCAAAATACATGAACGCCGTTAAAAACCGGGTCGGAACAATCCGTTAAGTTACTTTTTATTAGACAGTGGAACTTTGATCCATTTCAGATGGATCAACCTAAAACTCGCCTTACCTCAACATAACAATTATAAAACACACTCTAGAAATTTAAATTAGTACTCACATTGTAGCACGCTCAAGAATTGGGAGTAATCAAGTCGGTAATCAACTCGAGAATTAGATAATGTAACTAAAATGAGTTTAATGTTTGTCAGTTTTAACAACAAGAACAAGTTTGTACTCTAGACTATAGTTTCTCGTGAACCATTGGGACACTCAAGCTGTCCACCTTTCCACCGAAGGTTCACTCTAGTCCAGTTTAGAATAATACTCCTGTAACATTCGTCTACTGCAGTCACACATGAGGCTTAAGAAAAATAGGCCCTATAACCACTGGCTCAAGGGTCAGGGACACTATCTCTTGTGTTTTTCTACCTCAAGAACGGTCGGAGCCAGTTCGGTTCGCTTGTGACATGAGACTACGACCCGTTACAGCTTAAAGGCTACTACTAAAATATCCCCCCACTCTAGAATTAGAAACGTCCCCATACTTAGGTCTCTAGATACCCAAAATACATGAACGCCGTTAAAAACCGGGTTGGAACAATCCGTTAAGTTACTTTTTATTAGACAGTGTAACTTTGATCCATTTCAGATGGATCAACCTAAAACTCGCCTTACCTCAACATCACAATTATAAAACACACTCTAGGAATTTAAATTAAGTACTCACATTGTAGCACGCTCAAGAACCAGGAAGTAAATAAGTCGGTAAACAACTCAAGAGTTAATAAAGTAACTAAAATGAGTTTAATGTCAGTCAGTTTTAACAACAAGAACAAGTTTTTACTCTAGACTGCAAGTTCTCGTGAACCATTGGGACACTCTAGCTGTCCACCTTTCCACCGAAGGTTCACTCTGGTCCAGTCAATAATAGTATTCCAATCGTGATAATCCAACTCGTGGGAATGCTCTCGTCTCTGTTTCAGATGGGACAGCTCTACTCTAGGTTATTATTGCTTTCGAAATTGCGAATAGCAATTTCCCACCGATCTTTCTAGCAACTTTCCCGCGATTGTTACTCAATTGTTCTGAAATTGTTCTGATCTCTTTTTCTGATTTTCAGTTCTCACGAGAAAATCGTGCATGACAGGTTCCATTCGAAATTTTGAAAAATTAAATTTCACTCCAAAATCAAGTGTTTTTTGCTTCTCTCAAGGTCAAACTTCCAAATATGACCGACTGGCACATACTCCCCGGACTCGAGATCGATGTCCTCATCGCGCGCTGTCTTCTGCCAGTGAGTCCCAGAAAAACCGAGTGTTGCTCAAGATACAGTGCCAGTGGTCATTTACAGAAGTTTGCAGCAGATTTAAGCTTATCTACACCCCAAAATTCACAGCCATTTAAAATTTTCACACTATTGCTAAACAGCAACCAAAATCTGCATACACCTGCACCCTTGAATTTTCGCTTTTCAAGCCAATCATTTTAAAATCTCTTTTGTCCTATTCAATCAGGAAATTGTCATGCAGCATTTCGATTTATATAATAAATATAGTATATTAGTAACAATATTTGCTTTGTTAAAATTTCTTTTTCGTGAATCCAAGTTTCACTCGGATCCACGCTCAAGCCCCCCTTCCCTCTCAAGACTCAAGATCCATCCGATTTGCCCATTCATCTCGTGCTCTTCGCCTTGGAGGTACTGCATCCTGAAGTGCTAGATGCGGCAAACTGTCTCAACAGTTCCTCTTCATCATCGGAACTAATCACAATCTCCTCCCAAGCCTTCAGCTGTTCATAGGATCGCATCCATTCTCTCTGCTCCTGCAATCTCTTTGCTTGGTTGGGTAGTGCCTTCACCCTAGCTTCTCGGTTCAAGCAAAAGGAGTTGTGCAGGCTCAAGCTCACGTTCTTCGCCAGGTCTTCCTCTAGTATCGACTCCCTCGCTTTGGTATTGTCTCTAGACATCTTACCCACTCTTTTCCATCCTGTCGTGATCGCATTACGATGGGTTAGTAGGGGTCTCTTGAAAGCTTCCGGCCCAATCTCGGCCTGGAACTGTCGATACTCTTTTTGATGTTTTCTCATGTGATCTTTCGTTGTCATGTACAAGCAAGACGTCAGTGTCGCCCGAAACCATGGAAAGTACCTCAAGCGACTCCATACGTGCCTGACTTCCGTCGGTATGGCGAATACTTTGCACGCAGTCTCAAACAACTCGAGTCTCCTGCTGTAGTCTATCGCGTATATTGACTCAGCCGTTGGCGTCGTCGCCTCCCGATACTTCGTTATATTCTCTTCTATCCATCTCAGAGCTAACATCGTACTCACTACTAAGAGCGTCACCTTCTGCCGGTGATCCGGTAGTCCGATCGACCGAATCTCTTCCACATCCCACACCAGGCAAAGGTTCTTGTGATCTGGATACCACACCGTTTGTGCCAAACAGTGGCATGGGCATTCCCCATGAGAGATCTCAATGCTCCTGAGATTACGCTCCCCTGAGGCTTCCAAGAGAGGCTCAAGCTCCATCATTTTCTCGTGCATCGTGTCGTTGTCTTCCAGGTTCGGAGTACTTCCCACAGGTTTCCCGATCACGTTTTGTCTCTCGTGATCGCTCGTGTTTTCTCTTTCCAACTTCAGAAGATCTTCTCCCCAGATTTCGCTTAAGTCATCTCTCAATTCTTTTGGTACTGTCCCTTTGATTTTTCTCAACAACTTGTGCGAGTGATGCGACATCCGAGCCAACCTCACGCACTTGGGCACTGAGAAGGCCTTGTCCACCAGTATTCTCTGGCTGGACACTTCCACCATCGCCATGTGTAGCGGGTAGTGACTTCCGCACAAGTTGGCCATCATTGACCCTATCAGCGATTTCGCGTTCAATGGCAAGCCATAAGCTTCGCTCATGGGAAATCCCATTTCCGCCTCAAGACCAACCTTCCAGCTCCGGATGTGTTTTTGAGTCACCTGCAACACCCCGGGCCATGATTCCACGCTCAACGCCGTCACTAAATGATGTTCAGACTCCAGTCTCTCCAGTGCCTGCAGACCACACATTCTCGAGAAGAATCCGAGAGCTGTCGCTATATTCACCGTGGTTCTCGCGTAACATTCCGCTATTATTTGCACTTCACTTTTCTCCCTTTCTGTGATGTCTTCGAACCAAGTGACCAGGTCTTCTTTTTGAAACGACAGTATTCTGACGCATGACCGTCCATCGCAGATGTGCTCTCCGTTCCCACACGTCGAATCCAGACAGCTACCCGGCTCCAATTTCTTCACTGACCCGGGGTCGCTCGTCCTTTCGCTTGGCTCTTGCATCTGGGGCGTGATTAGCTTATGTAGCACACTCAACTTCGCCAGATCTTCATCTTCCGTTGGTGCTAACCTCACTCGCTCTGTGGTTTCCTCGATTAGACTTGCATGGGGATGTGGACACCAGGAGGGTCTTAGTAGCTTCCATATCACTCCCAAGTTCGTGGTTAACAAGCCATTTCCACCGCCCATGTTCACTTCAACTCTCTTGTTTGAGCGCGGTATGCTTATCACCTCTGGTGTTTTCTCAAGAATCAGGCCCAGGCTCGGCCCCTCTTTCTCCACCGCGTCTATCTCCATTATTTTTTCTGTCCAAAACTTCAGTAGCTCCGCTACCTCATGGTTTCTGTGGGCTCCTCCAGCTTCCGAGTCTAAGAAGGGATTGTAGGCCATTCCCATCACTCCAGACACATGTTGGTATTCCCCCTTCTCACTGAGTCTCGAGTACTGTTCTGACGAGGCCAGGTTACGGTGAACATCATGTTCTTCCTCGAACTTCTTATTAGAGAACCTCCGTACCTCGTCCAGCTTCCGATGGTTCTCTAAGGATAGTCTGGAACCATCTTCTTTCTCTATTCCTGTACTCTGATATACGTTCAAGATGATCGTTGAGACTCTTTTCTCCATGGATTTACTTCCACTTGCTCTCTGGTGGCATGCCAGGATGGTGCTATCAGACATCATTGACATTATCCATCTCAAGAAACATGTGGCATCTTTTCTTCTAGCCAGGCTCAAGCCTGAATTGTCCCTGGCCACGTGTTGCATCAGTGCCTGATACACCTCTAGCTTCTTGCTTCCCAACTTCAGCCTGTCACACGAGGTCAATGTCTCCAACTCTATTCCCACCAGACTCCAGGTGAACATTAATTGTCCCGCAGTTCTAACGAAGGGATTCGCCATTAGTGGCGGAGCTGATGAGGATGTTCTCATCGCCTCTTCAAAATGATCCTTCAACAAACTCTGCCAGGACCTCTTCAGATGACTTGCCATCTCTATCTTATTAACCTCGGCTTTTTGCTGGGTGGCCCAATTGCGTCGCCTGCGAGCTATTCCACTGTCCAACTTCTTCAAGCAGTCCTCCATTTCCTTCAATGTTTCGAGGGCCACCCACCACGTCCGGGAAGTGTTCCTCGTCTTGTTCCTCTCCAATGGATCACTCGTCACTTGTTTGCCCATGTCCTGATGTGCCTTCGAGATCCATTCTTTGCCGATCTCCACTTCCCCTACCTGTCCGTTCGTTGAACCTCTCTTCACGTTTACCTTCTGAGGCTTGAAGTCTTCTTCTGACGTCGAACTGGTGGAAACCTCTATTTCCTTTTCTACTTCAAGTGGTTTCCTGAGCTCCGAGCTGTTCTTGTATGCCGCCGTCTTGCATCGGGCCAAAACGATGGGCGCCGTCTCTCTCAAGTTTCCTTCCGAAACAGCATCCACTGAAGGACTACCCCATCCTTCCACTTCTCTCTTCCTCTTGCGAGTCTTCACATCTCTGCTCGAGGGTGTTGTGGCTATCATCATTGATTCGACCTCTCCATCCACTCCTTCCAACTCTTGCCTCCCCCCTGCTCGAGCCTTAAGGATATTAGTACTCTTAATCATATTACTAGTCCCAACCTTATCCCTTTTTATATCATCAACCATTTTATCCACAGTTTTTTGTTTCAGAGTAGAGCTGTCCTCACATTTCTCTTTTCTAGTCTTCGATCGTGCGTTCCTCAGCTCCACTAGCTTGTTCAGCAGCTCTTTTCTTGCTTTCTCATCCAGGCCCGTTCCTATCAGGAGCGGTTCCCCGAATCTCACTACTGCGTCCCACAGTTCCTTCTTGAACTTGTCCAGCGTCGTCTCGCTGCCCACTTCTCGATTGAATTCCCCCAGGAATTCCTGCCAAGCGTCATCCTCGAGAGATCCCAAGAATATGTCCCTGTTCCCTTCGAACGTGTTCTTCTCCCTTTCCTCCGAGCTCAAGAGTAACATCCCCATATTGAAGGTCTCACCTGCCAATGGCAACTCTAGGTTCTTCCGCGGGGACGGGTTCAGAGGTGGTGTGGTAGTATCTGCCCAATTCTCTTCGCTCAAGTCTTTCAACAGCTCTTGAGTGGTGAGTTCCTCCCCTGATGGCCCTGGTTCAGGTGTATTCCCCACCTCCATGTCTTCTCCAGCTTCACTGAGAGTTTCATCCATACTCTCTTCCTCTGA